ATTTTATCATATTTTAATATATTTTATCTATTTTATTCTAATTTCGGTTTTATTTTTGGTTTTCAATTTTTAAGAGATTCAACCGAAACCGAATCAAAATATATTCGGTTAATACCGAAACCAAAAAAATAAAACCAAAAACCATTGAAATCGAACCGAATTCATTTTTTCGATTCGGTTTTCGAGTAAACAATCGGTTCGGTTGAAAAATGCCCAGCCCTATCTGTGATAGTTGGTTCTTTTTTAAGAGAAAAGAGGTAGGCTTCTAGAATTCTTTAATTTATAAAGTCTAATTTCTCCTCGAGACAACTGTTTTTATTTATCTTCTGATTCAATCGTTTAAATTGTAACTTTGATTGAATTGAATTTTGCAAAGTATCTACTAAGTTAGATCACTAATTAGTCTTATCCATACTATGATTAAATTGTTGGAATTGTAGACATTTCTTTTTGACAGTGAATATGAGGTATGATATCATGTCCTCCTGTGTATATTCTATTTGTTGGATACCTTCTTCCTTCGTGGCTTTTATGTTTCTCACCATCCTTGAATACTTATCACAGTGGTTAAGAAACTAATATTATAATATAAAACCAATAATTTAAATAATTCAATGGTTATTTTTTTTATTGAAAGTAAGAGGTATTAAATTCAAGTCGCATGACATGCAAGTGGGATAGGATAAATGATGAAAGATAGTTACCTTTGATTTTTTTTTTTTATTAGCAAAAATCAACTTTATAATGCAGAGTACAAGGGGTACTCTAACCCATATACAAAATTAAATTAAACCCAATGGAAACAAAAATAATAAGGAATCATCTGGCTACTGCTACCTCTATACCCTTCCTGTTTGGTTTAGATGGAACTCCTTTTGCCTCCTCTTATGATTTCTCATAGCTGCAGCACACCCATGCGGATTTAGCTTCCAATCACTAACCGAAAATACACATCCCTACACTTTATTCTTGCACCAGAAGAAAGTCTTTTCCTATATCATAGCCAACAACCCCTCCCGAAGAGCCACATCTCCCTTGAATACTCTACAGTTCCTCCAATACCATATATACCATGATGTAACAAGAAAGAGGCTTGCACCCAACTCCTTCCCTACCACCTTACCCAACCCAAACAAGAAAATTTCTACTACCCCCTCCAGAATATCCGGCAACACAACCTCAAAACCCCACCAAGACAAAACCATAACCCAAATTAACCAAACTTCCTTACATGAACAAAACACATGATTAATATCTTCCACCTCCTCATTACACAACCCACGCATTAAGCCCCCCTCTAATGCCACTCCTTTCTTTTGCAAATTCCATTTTGTTGGAAGTCTCTGAAGACATAATCTCCACCCAAAGAAGCTTACTTTAGAGGGTACTAAACGACACCAAATTAACTTACACAACCAATCATTAAGAATAGATTCCGTCGATTCCAAAAACTCATAAGCTTTTTTCACCACGTACTTCCCATCTGAAACATGAATCCACTGCCAACGATCTTCAACTCCCACCTTAATACCAACTGTACTCAACACCTCCCACAACATCAACTCCTCATCCTTCTCTCTTCCAAACCTCCCTCTCCTCCAAATTATATTCCACCGCCAACTACCCGCCTCCCAGCCCCCCATCTCACTTACTAATCCCACCTTATTTACAGCCAACTCAAACAATCTAGGACACAATTCCCGTAAAGCTTTCTCCCCCACCCAAATCGACCTCCACAACCCCACTCGACAACCCTCCCCTACCTCCCATTTGAACCCCTTGACCAACATATCCTGTAACCTTCCAGATCGTTGACCTATACCGATAATATCCCTCCAAATCTGAGATACCCTCACACTCTCCAATGCCATAATATCTACTTCTTCCCTACCCCCATAATATTTCTCCTTCACCACCTTCTTCCACAAACCCTCCACCCCATCCCCTAATCTGAACCACCATTTTCCTAATAACGCCCAGTTTTTCCTACATAAATCTAACACTCCTAGGCCTCCCTTCCTCTTACTGAAACAAATATAATCCCACTTAACCCAATGAATTCGCCGCTTTAACTCCACCCCACCCCACAAGAAAGCCCGTTGAATACTAATCAACCCCGAAACCACACAATTCGGCATTAAAAATAATGACATATAAAAGACAGGGATAGCAGAGAGTACCGAGTTGAGTAGAGTGATGCGGCCACCAAAGGCAGCGTAGAAGACTTCCAGACGGCAAGCTTGGCTCGAAATTTTTTCAGAACCGGTTCCCACATCTTCGTACACCTAATCTTCCCACCAACCGGCAACCCAAAGTACATAAATGAAGTTTCCCCAACACCACAATGTAAGACACTTGCTGCCCCTTTAATCCACCTTTCTGACACATTATAACCGACCACACTACTCTTGGAAAAATTAATCCTTAATCCAGACATCAACTCGAAACATCTTAAAATGGTCTTCACCGCAAATATATTTTCGCTGTCAGCATTCCCCAAAATCACCGTATCATCAGCAAATTGAAACAAAGAAACAGTTAACCCCTTATTACCCACTGCTGGGCCATGTAACATTCCTTCAGTTTCTGCTATCCTAACTAACCCATTTAACCCCTCAGCAACTATCAAAAAAAGAAACGGTGATAACGGGTCACCTTGCTTTAAACCTCTTCCCATCCCAAACTCCTCCGTCGGGCTCCCGTTAACTAATACAGAAATCCTTGCTGTTGAAAGACATTCTCTAATCCACCCGCGCCATTTCATTCCAAAGCCCATCCTGCACAACATCCAATCCAAGTATGCCTAATCTACACAGTCATAAGCCTTTTCAAAATCAGCTTTAAAAACGAAGGCCTTCTGTTTCTTCAATTTAACCTCATCGACCACCTCATTTAGAACTAGAACACTATCAACCAATTGACGACCCCCCAAAAAAGAAGATTGCGTGTCACTAATTAACCCCGACATTACGCCCTTTAACCTATTAGCCAGCACCTTAGCCAATAACTTATACAGACATCCAATCAAACTAATAGGTCTAAAATCCTTTAATTCTAAAGGATTCAACTTCTTAGGGATTAATGTTATGAAAGAAGAATTTAAGCCTCTTACTAACCTGCCATTATGGTGGAATTCCTCAAAAAAGCTCATAAAATCCTCCTTCAAACAGTTCCACACACATTTGAGAAAATTAAAATTAAATCCATCTGGCCCAAGTGCTTTAGTTCCCTCACAGCTCTTCAATCCTTCCTCAATCTCCTCTACAGAAAAGGGCCTTTCTAATTCCGCTTTCTTCTCTTCCGAGATCTGTTTAAAATTGATTCCGACAGGCTTGGGACGTTGCCATGATTCTCCGTCAAACATCTTACTAAAGTACCTGACAACCTCTTTCTTCACCTCCTTTGGCTCCTCCACCCACTTGCCTTCACATGCAAACCCATTAATGTTATTATGAACCTTTCTATCGTTTGCAACCTTGTGGAAAAACCTCGTATTAGCATCCCCTAATTTTGCCCAACTACATCTTGATTTCTACTTCCATAAAATCTCCCTCTTCTTCATAATATCCCACATTTCATGAAAGCCTTCTTGTCTTTCAGTCACCTTTTCCCCTTCTAAATCAGCCTCTTCATTCTTCATATCAATCCGAGCAACCTTATCCACAACAGCTTGATATTGAACTTCTATATCCCCAAACACTTCCTTATTCCACCCTTTCAAAAAATTCTTCAACATCTTTAATTTCTGTAAGCATCTATAACCTGCAAACCCATCAACCACCATCTCAGTCCATTTGCCTTCAACTACTTTCTTAAAATCTAGATGTTGCTGCCAAACGTCCAACACCCGAAAAGGTTTAGGCCCCCAATCCGTGACTCTTGTTTTCAAAACAATGGCACAGTGATCGAATATATCTCTCCTCAACCCTTGCTGCACCCATTCCTCACCCATACTGCTCATCTCCACAGTCATCAATATCCTATCCAATCTGCTCATGGATGTACCATCTGGTCTATACCATGTAAACTTCCGATTGGCCAACTTAATATCAACCAATCCTGTTGACTCTATGAAAGCATCAAACTCCAACATATCTACACTCATACATGTCCTTCCCCTTTTTTCTTCAAGACACCAAACAACATTATAGTCCCCTGCCAGCAACCATCTCCCACCCTCTTCTATAATTTTCCGGCTCAGCTCATCCCATAACTCAACCTTACTTCTTCTATCACTCGGAGCATATACGTTCACAAAAACACACTGCTCCTCTTTTGAACCCCAAACTCCTTTTATACCCAAGTACCCATCTCCTGTAAATTCCTCCAATTTGACAAAAACTGTCCTGTTCCACACACACAACAAACCTCCAGATGCTCCAACCGAGCTCTTCATACTCCAACCAAACTCATCGGAATACCACAACATTTTACACAATCCTTCCTCTACCTCTTCTAATTTTTTCTCCTGTACAAATAAAAAATCTGGTTTCTCTGCCCTTACTAATTTACCCAGTTCCCTCCTCTTCACCGTTCCCCCCAACCCTCTGACATTAAAAGAAACAAACTTCATTTCAACAACAACCCACAGCCACTCTACCTCCCAACAGACCCATATCTTAGCTATTTCTCCCTCGGACCTCATCCCTCTGCTCCAGCTCTAAAAATCGAGATTCCACCTCCTCTTCATTTCCTTGGAACTGCATGCCCAACCGTCGCCCAGCTGCAATCAATCGTCTTACCTCTTGTAGACTTAGTTCCTGTTGAATCACACGGTTCCGATGAGCAATACACCCATCTGAGATAGAGGCACTTCTTCCTTCTTGCTGAGTCCTTCCCGATTCTGTTGGCATCTGCTGCGTCGTTCCCGATGCTGCTGGCATCTACTGCGCCTTCACCCTCCTCGCACGCCTCTGCTTCGTCCGCCCAGTCACCCAATCTGCTTGATCTTCCCGAGTTACTCTCCCCTCTTGTGGATAGCTGTTGGAGAAGAATAGAAAAAATGGAGATAGATAACAAAGTGATTGAGAAGTAAAAGATGACTTTCTGAATACTTAAATTCATTGAAAAAACATATAAATATATA